TGGCTGAACAGTAATGACAAATGCATTAGCCGAGACTGTTTGGAGAAATCGATCCTGGGCATATGTTATGTTTATTAAAAAAATATATAATGCAAATGTTTGATATGAAATTCAACGTATTCTGGGATAAAAAAGCTTGTTTTCTCAAAGAAACCCTATTGGTGTAAGAAGAAATAAATAAATGTCTCAACATTTCTATTTACGTATCATCTTAGCAAATGGAGAAAGTATGATAGGGACTGGGAACTGTGAATACAGCCGTATATACAGAGCCGCGGCCTCATGCATTTGTCTGCGACATTGTAGTGATTTATAAATTACCATGATTACATTATTAGGTGGGTGGTCAGTTATATTTTAATGAAACCCCTTAATTAAAAATGTGGCCTGAATAAACTACAACGCTCATTTACCATGAGGATATGTGTTGTCAAATTCAGTATGTAAAGGGGTGTAATCGTATAGTAGTCAAAAAAAGGATATGCGTACAAAACTTAGGAAAGAATTGCACCGAATGTTTTAAAAATGCGTTGATTGAACATTGAATTTGTTTGCTATTCTATCAAACACATGCTACTGTGTTGCTGCCGTTTTTCCTCAGGAGTGAGTGAGTTTATTTCTTCACATGTCTGTATTGTAGTTACTGTAGGAAAGGAGCATCCTTCCAGTCAATAATTCTTAACTGGTAGGAGGAATTTCTGTTTACAGTGGCGTTTTGACAAGCAACCACAAGTAGGCATAACATGATCACCCAAATTCCGTCAAGCATGTGTTTTTTTCAAACACTTGATTACTCCGCGTGGTCCTGAAGGCCATCTGACTGAAGCATGAGGAGATCTGATGTTGTTACCTGTAACTCTGGCTAAAGCATGCGGAGATCTGATGTTGATACCTGTAACTCTGGCTGAAGCATGAGGAGATCTGATGTTGTTACCTGTATCTCTGACTGAAGCATGAGGAGGTCTGATGTGGTTACCTGTAATCTGTGGTTGAAGCATGAGGAGATCTGATGTGGTTACCTGTAACTCTGACTGAAGCATGAGGAGATCTGATGTTGTTACCAGTATCTCTGACTGAAGCATGAGGAGATCTGATGTGGTTACCTGTATCTCTGGCTGAAGCATGAGAAGATCTGATGTGGTTACCTGTTAATCTCGTTGAAGCATGAGAAGATCTGATGTGGTTACCTGTTAATCTCGTTGAAGCATGAGAAGATCTGATGTTACCTGTAACTCTGACTGAAGTAAGAGAAGATTTGATGTGGTTACCTGTAATCTCGTTGAAGCATGAGAAGATCTGATGTGGTTACCTGTTAATCTCGTTGAAGCATGAGAAGATCTGATGTGGTTACCTGTTAATCTCGTTGAAGCATAAGGTAATCTGATGTTGTTACCTTTAACAAGCATGAGAAGATCTGATGTTTTTTTCCTATAAGACTTGTTGAAGGATGGGAAGAGGATATGTTTTTACCTGTAACACCGTATGAAGGATAATAAACTCCGTTGTTACCTGTCACATTTGCTGAAGTGTCCGAAGATTCGTTGTTTTACCTATAACACTGGCTGAAGGATCTGATCTGAAGTTGTAACCCCGGCGGAAAGATGAGAAAATCCTATGTTTTTATCAATTTGGTCTGAAGGAAAAACCGATTTTAAGTTCTTACCGTTAACCTTTTCAGAAAGATAGGATGATCGCTGTTTCACAGGTGAGTGAGTGAGTGACTTTAAGTTAGCAATATCAAAGCAATATCATGTCAGGGGACACCAAAAATGGGCTTCACACATTGTACCCATGTGGGGAATCGAACCCGGGTCTTCAGCGTGACGAGCGAACGCTTTAACCACTATCCCCCAGGTGCGCAGATCGATGTGCATGATGTCAGTAACTGGATTATCTGGTAGAGACTCGTTTAGAAGCATTCACAGACCATTTCCATACAGATGGATTATGGATGAGTGCGGTACTAAAGAAACAACGAAGAGACAAACTGATATATATGACCATGAAGAAACCCAAATGTAAAAAGGATACGCAGAAGACACAAAGGCCACAATAGGATCAAATCAAACGTTTATCTGACATTTGGCAATGTTTATCAAACTAGAAACAGTGGCTGTGACGTGTAATTTATAGACTGCGATATAACTCACCCTGACGCCACCTGTGGTTGTGTCCTCTGATCGTCATGCAGAAGGTTTGTTCAGGGTCAACCTGACCCCACGTGTGGTTGTGTTCTCTGATCGTCATGCAGAAGGTTTTCTCCAGGGACACCCTGACGCCATCTGTGGTTGTGTCCTCTGATCGCCATGCAGAAAGATGTGCTCAGGGTCAGAATGAAGCGGAGAAAATATATACCCTGTGTTGCCGCCGTACTTTCAACCGTACGATACATCCTTGTATCAGATCTTCATTCGTTTGTTATAAATACCCGCACCCATTCGCCTGCAACATAACTTCTACCACAAACCTACCACACCGCTCATAAGCTTTAAATCAAGAACAGAAAACAACTTCGTCAAAGTTTAATATTCAAAATATCTGTCATGCTTCGATACATTCAACAGCATTAGCACTATTAATGAGCTTTAGGATTTTCCCATAGAATCTTAAGCTGTTTTCGGGGACATTGAAGAACCGAGCATCAGGGAATCCCCAGTCCTGAACTTCTGCTACTGCTTGATGTATTCAACGCGCCAATAGGTGTCTAGCGACTTATATTCTTCGCACCAATCCTTCTTCAAGACAAAACTCGGTACAAGCTGTCCCAAAGGTATCCACAGTCCAGATACTGGCACCATTTGGATCTTATAACAAAACGTTGCAATTTCAGAAACACGTTTGTTCCGACAACCTCCCTTCAATACTGATAGGGCAGCCGGATCGACAACCGATTACCCTCGCCAGATGAAAGAAGTGATCTACCATCTGAGATCCTACATCAAAGTTGACTGCTATATTAAAGTGTACTAAGTGAACATTTGGATTTATTATTTATCAAGACACAAAAACAGTAATGCACTTATTTCTGTTTGAAGAAAATAACTGAACTCGCGTGCCTCCATACCTGCCCATACGCTGCAGTATTAGTAAACTAGAACCCAGTGAACCATTCTATCACAGGACAAGGCTCCAGTCACCCCTGGCAATATAAAACAGACACCCTGGTGCCGCACTTCTGGTTTGGATCGGAAATTTATACATCGTGTTAATGGTTCCTGACCTGGGTGAGTCTGTAAACAGGGATTACAAGCAAGGTCGGTTAATATACTACTCACACTTCGCTAAGGATCAACAAAATTCCCAACTGAAGTTAAACATAGATTTATTATTTGAAATTGTATCCATTTAAAACCGGATACATAATGATATGGTAACCCCTCATTAGGCAAACAGCCACTTAAATCTAACCTTTTGCACTTGATACATGAGTAACCATAAAAATGGGTTTCATGGCACCAAACAACCATTTTCCAAATCATGGAACGAGTCATTGACAAGTACAAAAACACCTGTGAATAGCAGGTATGGGATCCACAAGATGCAGTGAAATACTGAAACCTAGGATCCATGCTTGCAATAAGCTTAGATATTATAACCAAATTTGACCCCACATCATAGTTTTCTGTTGAATCAATGATTTGATTCTTAGCAAAGTGTGAATAGTATATAAGGGATGAGTTTATGGAAAGAGTGAGTTAATGTCACAGCTACTTTGGGCTCCAAGTAAACCATGCCTCGTTGTAGCGGTGGGGTTGGGTTTGTTCAGTCGGACATAGAGAAAGACATGAGGTGTAATCAAATGTTGTAGTAGTCATAGAAGCAGCCATAAAAGCCCTGAAAAACGCGAGACAGTCTCTTGGAAATCATCATACATTATATCAACTTTTGCACATATATCACAAGTAGCAATTATGCAGCTATTCATACACTTCGTCGTCGTAAAATTCGTGTTGAGGTCATTCTGACAAGTCTCCGACTTGGACACTGTGGGTTAAATGCCTACAGGAGAATTATTGATAAGATAGTTTATTCTAAATGTGGTCATAGCAATTTGGAGAAGCCTGAAAATATTGAACACTATCTAATTACACTATCTTGGTTCTTAGATGTTGATCAAATGTTACACAACCCCAGTGCTAGTAGGTTGCATCAAACAGCCAAACGCCAAAATCAGTTCTTCCAACATTAAATTGACTTTTTCGACTTGAAAGGAAATATTTCTAAACATTATTATTATTGTTGTTCTTGGTACCAATACCTCCACAAGCATAACGTCGCTCAGTACGTACTGGACTTGATGTTTAGTTTACTGCTTACCAGACACTATTTTAACTATAGAGGACAACACACTATAAAAACGGGCTATAGGTCGCCTACAACTGAAGGTAGATCACCGTACTAGGGACCATGGGGACTTACAGTACGTTTGCTTCCAGCATGGATCCCAGCTGGATTTACACCATCCCTTCAGCCGTTAGCAATTTAGCAAATCTAGCCATATATTAAAAAGACATGTATTCTACGATTAAAAATGTGGAACGTAATTTACTTCGAATGTTTTGGGACTTACGTACCCTCATAGGAGGACAATAATTCGACAGTACTTAAACCCCCTTCGAGGATACAGCCACATTAATTATGAACAGCCCCTGCAAGTTTTTAACTTTTCGTCTCTTGATGATATGTTAGACCCAAAGACACGATGGTGAGATTGTCAAAACACGTGTAACAGAACTCGATGAGTGTAGTCATCTCATTTGCACACACAACACTGGCGGATCGAGCAGTTGAGGACGTACGGGAATATGGAATATGCACGTACGCACGCACGCACGCCCGATACCCCACACACACACACACACACACATACACACACACACTACGCAGAGAGACACGGGTGGTGGGGGTCAGGTCAGGTCAGGTCAATATGCGACTTGCAGAATAGACACGCTACCGCTCTCCAAACCCAAATACCCGCCTCTCTATCAGTGCTTAACCGAGCTGTGCACTAAACAAAGGTCTGCATGTCATAAGATCAATAGAGAGGTCACCGTTGTTGTTCAACCGAGACTCCGAGCAGGATTCATATTACGACTTGTTGGCAACGCAATGTTTGTGCGTGTACATACTAGCGACCGTTGACGAATACAGGAACTAGAACAGCTACTATCTGTACCACATACATTTGGCGCGCCAATCGACTGTTGTTATCCCGCTGTCGTTACAAGCAGGAAGTAACTCTGTGTTGTTGGAGGACAACTGGCAACGGGATAAACAAGCAGATCGGCGAAAAGGTAGGTAGGGATATTTACAAACAACCCATGACTATTCGGGTTGAAATTTATCCCCAGCAACCTATGTTTGCCGTTAGAGGCGACTGACGTGACATGTCATCTTATGCCATGCCTAGAATAATTATCAAGCCATCTATCACTAGTTAGATTGTTTGGTCCAGATTCGAGTATTTACATATCGAGGTCATACAGCTGAGAACATTCTGAGAGCGTCGTTAACCAAGAAACAAACAAATACTTACATACAGAAGAGACTTCACAGACAGGCAGAACGGAAATGCAGATTCAAGGAGTTATAGCAAAAGTGAGCGAGTATAGTTTTATGCCATATTTAGCTTCCCTTTTAGCAATATTCCAGTAATATCAAGGCGGGGGCCTTCACAGAAATGGGCATCACACATTGTACCAATGTGGGGAATCGAACCTGGGTCTTCGGCGGAACGAGCGAATGATTTAACCACTGGGCTACCCCACCTACCCTTATATGAAAGAATGAGATACAATTTAATCTTTGAATGCAAACTTTCGGGTAAAAGAAAACATAGATTGGGTACCATATTTGTGTTTTGATTTCCATGACTGCTTTCAGCCTCGTAATGTTTAGACAACATTGTTAAATTGTTTGTTCAACTCATGTTTCCAAGTGTATACTTCCTTTTTCCAGCCGCGTATTTCTTCCAGATATATCACTGTTTAGGACCCAAAGCTTATCAAATACTAGTATTTGAAATAAGCACACATGTCAGTTGCATTGGTCAAATGTACGACGTCAGAATCCGTACGTTCTAAGGGCCTATTCGATTATGCTAAACCGGTTTTGGTTCTGACACTTCGAAACCATCTCCGAGGCAGGTTTCGCAGTTTCGGTTTCGCGTTCTCTCATAACAAACATGGCGGAAACCACCAGGCTGAACTGCATTTGCAAGCGCCAAGTTCAGCTGATCTTGGTGGCAAAATAGAGCAGCAGTTTCTGTAACCAAAATAATGATACAAATCAACTGAGAACTAGGAAAGTGGGGCGGTGGGGTAGCCTAATGGTTAAAGCGTTCGCTCGTCACGCCGAAGGCCCGGGTTCGATTCCCCACATGGGTACATTGTGTGAAGCCCATTTCCGGTGTCCCCCGCCGTGATACTGCTGGAAGATTGCTAAAAGCGGCGCAAAACAAAACTCACTCATTCACTAGGAAAATATTATTCAAAACCCCAGAACATGACTATTTTATGTAAATTGTATACATAATTACTTGAAACAGTATACTTTCATATACGCAAATTTTTACCTCCAAAAGCATCTTATCTGTTTATTATTTGTTAATTCACTGTTAAAATAACAAAAACATATGCTGCAATCCAATTCGTTCCACACATATAGTAGCTGGGACATTTTTGGGGTATCCATTTTGAAACCGGATTGTGAAACCATTCACTCGTTTATAAAAATAGAATTTAGTTTCACTTTGAAACTATATTATCCGAAACTAGACACTCGTTATGACAGGAGAAACCAGTTTCGCAATAATCGAACAGGCCCTAACTGTCGCTTCACCTTTGTATAACAGATGAACTTCAAAGAATGGTCCATCGCGACTCCGGAGGCAAGGAGGGCCGCCATCAGGGAGATGAAGAAAGCTGGCTTGGCTGAGAAAAGACGCCTAGAGAGGGAAGGGCTCCTCCCCGACTATGATTACCCCGACCCCAAGGGAACACACAGATCGTCAGGACAGAAGAGAAAACCAATCACCGTCCTCAACGACAACCCAGGACCGTGTTACTACATCGACACGCCTACGCGTCCTGGAGTGTCTATTTGCGGACGACCTCGTGATTGGAACCGGACGATGTTAATAGACGGAGATGACCTCAACACCAACGTCACGAACTACAACGACGGTAGTCATGCGTCATCTCTCCCCGTTGCCACAACCGCTGGCTGGAATGAGAACAGACTCAGGAAGGAGAGCGTGTATCAAAGCACCCACAATGCTCAAGCTCTGACAGACAAGAAAATAAAACCAGAAAAAAGGATTGCGTTAAAGAAGCGGGGTTTGTCTCCGGAAAATGGACACAAGTGCGAGGGAACTGTTGACCCTACTACAGTACGCCTGTTACCGTCTGTTAAATGTTATCCACAAAACCCTGGGCCTGGCGCGTACGCCCCCGAACATTGCAGGGTAGCCTTATCTCATTAACCAGCGTTTTCCATCACCGGACGTCACCGTCCATTCCTCAATGATGGCAGTCTTCAAGTGACTGATGCCGGGCTTGTTGGGCATCAGTAAATACTTGCCTGGATCCCAGCGTGACATTGTATATCAACAGTTGCTTTCTTAGAGTTCACAAAAACTGAATAAAAACACATCTGAGACTAACTGGACTATTCCTATTAATAGAATTGTAAGAACAAAGACGTGTCCCATTCTTTATATCGTTGGTCTTCAAGTTCGTTTGAGATTCAGTATGCATTCGTAGTTGTTAAGGATTTGGGTTAGTAAAGAGGTTTTATTGACTGTGGTAAGAGACCTGAAGAGGTTCGTGTGGTCGGGTTCGGGGATTTGATCGTCAGTCATCGCATCCTGATGGCGTGGGGCGTCAACACCAACCACTGGTATGTCCATCCCGATTGTTCACATGCTGAATCTATGTATCTAGACTATTACTGACTAGCATAAACAATACTCGGTCCTGTCAGATGAATGTGTACTTATAGATCAGTGATTAACGCATAGGGAGAACGTGATAAAGGTTAATAAAGCACAATAATTATCCCTCTTGTAAATATGTTGTCAGTTAAGAATGACAGTATGGTTGTCAACGGTTTCGAGATCATGTGACAATAAACCGTTTGGACTTTGCCAAGAGGCGGTTACCTTGCTGACATCACACATACATGTAATTATACCCTCGATAGTCCTGTGTCATCTGTCCTCACAGAGTGAGTTTAGTTTTACGCCGCTCTTAGCAATATTCCAGCCCCATCACGGCGGGGGACACATTGTGCCCATGTGGGAAATCGAACCGGTCCTTCGGCGTGACGAGCGAACGCTTTAACCACAAGGTCCCCATCGACCCTATAGTCCTCAGATAAACTACCAGAAACCATTCAATACCAGTTCAATACCGTAGTAGCATCATGATTTGATACCGTAAACTAGACTCGACTTCACGGTTATTCCACGGCAGACATGATACACAGTCAAACGCCGTTGAGTCGAAGTCTGATATGTCGAACGAATGGTGCCTCGAAGTAAAGGCATGGTATTTCCATATTTAGCACATTACTGTATTTGTAATAGTGCTGGGTCCCGATCCGCAAAACGTTCGTATCCTACGACAAACGTTCGTAGCACTACTACATTCGTAGGTCGTAACGTTGATCGGGGCCCTGGGTCAGATGAAGGTTTATGGATAACTATACTATCATAAAATTCATGCATTTCACATATTGTCTCATGTGACAATTCAGTTCTGGTATAGTGTTATAGACATGTGGTCACAATTACACAAGCTGTTTAGTTGTATTTTAGCGAAATCACTAAATTTGTAAAATATATACAATGTACTGAGGGAAAGAAATAAGGGATCACATGAAAGGAGAAGTGTTCTTTTATCTTTTTTCCATGGTTCTTCACATGCTTTCACATATCATAGCTTGTGAAGAAAGCTGGAAACCTGCTTTCATGTGATCCCTTAGTTTTTCCCCTCAGTATATGCTGGTAAATGTGTTATTGGAAGGGAAACCCTGATGTCCCTGAACTCATTAAGGGAGATAACCGCAGGGTATTCAGTTACAGTAACTGGGTGAGTCAGTTAAAGTCGGTTACGGGTGAAGTCGCATAGCCCTAAAATCATGTAGTTTTAAAAACGGGAATAAATTAATAAATTGAAACCAGTACTGTTCATATTGTTTTAAGCATAACTGTGTTTAGTAAACATTTTGAGATAACTATTTACTTGTACATTAAACGTTGTAATGAAAACATGATACTGTGTTGAATCGAGTCATTTTGTAGGCTTACTTTAAACACTCAACTCTTCATAGCCAACTGGGGACCTTATGATAACTGGGGACCTTTGAACTCATTTAAATAACATATCAGGATTGTACTGATCGACAGGATTGTTGCGTTGCTGTGTTGAGCCACCCAGTGTTTATATCAGTAGCATATCTTTCATATCCGGGTGGTAGCGTGACAGATCAACCCTTCACCCCACACCAGAATACTGACTGTCAAAACTCCTGAAATCAATATTAAACTCAATCAGTTCAGAAGAATCTAATACCTAAAGTGCCTTTTACAAAACAGTGTTAAACATTACAAGGGACGATACTACACACGACAAATCCATTACACGTTACAACGAGGCGCGCATGCAGACATCTATGGAATCCCAGAAGGGACATTGTCGCGTTGTTGCCCTTACATAATCAAGCAGCTATTGGCCCATTTAACCAAAGCGCGACATTGCAACAAAGCCACATTTTGACCAAATGTCGCACTGTCCCTTTGTCCCGCACTGTCCCTTTGAATACCATTTTTGCCTATTTAAAACCAAAATGCGAGAGCGCGATAATGTCCCTTTTATGATTCCATAGACTGCTCGATCCACGTTGGTCGTCACTGACACCATGTTATGTATAGGCAAGGCATTCAACAGTCACAGCTAACGAATATTTTAAACACGCCGCGAGGGAAATAACATTTCGAAGTGGACTTGGTACTCTCAGCAGGGTTAGCTACCTAGTGTGAAAGTAAGTTCAGTTTGGTTACATGCACGAGTATTTGAATATATACTGGTACCTAAGGGATATTATGGATATGTCTAAAGGAGAAATAAGTCCTATTTTTGTTGTTAAAAATATGGAAACAATTTTTTGTGAGTACTAGCTACACTATTATAGCGTCCGTTCGGTGTTGATCCTTATACAGGTGACCGGATCCCAGTTTAAGTCCACCTAAGTGGATCTCTGGATCTGCAAAAAAAACCCATTACACTCTCGGTAAGATCTTCATAATTTGATTTGGTCAAAACATAACAAACACTATCAAAACGTTACTGGTAAAAGCAGTCGCCAAAACACTGCCTTGTTTAGGTCGAAAAAACGCTTTGGTTGCAAGGTGCACGTGAAGCTGTGAAAGCCGTTAACGACCCTTCGCCCGAAAACGTCCACGTCGACGACAGCAATCGACAAGGGCAGTACAATGCTGGCAGATCCGTGACTTACACTAACAGTGTTCAGTGACCGAAGGAGGTTCATCGTACTCCATAATTATGATCCTTATCGGGTTTACCTCTGCAGTGGAGTACAGTTGTTATTCCAATCAGAAAGTACATATACTCTCCCAAAAAAGAAACGCATATAGGAATTTCAACTGTATTTTTATGTTTATTTTGCATCTTGTAGGCTTCATGAGTCAATGGAATATAGCGAAATTGCACACTGGGAATGCAGACTTATCCGTCTTTGGCACCAACTCGAGGAAAGTCCACCGTGGACATCCAGAACTGCACAGCAACGCCTCGGCATCGAACGAATAAGTCTTAGAATCTCGTGTTGCCCAATCGCAGCCAACTCTGCCTGTACTGCCTGTGCGAGTTGCTGAAGTGTCTGGGGCTGAAGGTCGCACCCGTCTGTCCAGGGCATCCCACAGATGTTCGATTGGGTTTAAGTCCGGTGATCTTGAGGGCCAGGGGAGCACATTGATGTTGTGGTTCTGGAGGAAGTCTCTAGTGTGACGTGCTGTGTGCGGCCTGGCATTGTCCTGTTGAAACAACTCCCTCTGGCGATCAATGATTGGAAGGAGGTGTGGGCGTAGGGTTTCGTCACAGTACCGTTGAGCTGTCAGGTTGCCCTGGATCATCACCAAATCACTTCTCCTACGGCAGGTGATTGCTCCCCACATCATAACACTTCCCTGGCCGAATCTGTCCACCTGGGGAACGCAAGCGTCGGCGAAACGTTCACGTCGACGTCTTTACACCCGCATTCTTCCATCGCGTCGTTCCAAAAGAAATCGTGATTCATCACTGAACCAGATTCTACGCCAATTCGGTAAGTTCCAGGCCTGAACGTTGGTGCACCATTGAACTCGATGTCGACGATGTTGTTGTCGAAGCACAGGGCCAAAATAAGGTCTTCTGGCACGTAAACCAGCCCCTCTCAACCTGTTCCTGGCGGTCTGTGCAGAAAGCCTCCTCAATCCGGGTATTTGTCGAGCGGTACTGGTCGCCGTAGTTGACAGACAGCGATCAACCTTTTATACCCATCCTTGAGACTATCTGATCCCCAACTTTCACGTGCATTGCATGTGAATTGTGTATTCTGTGACACTACACGCCGAAATTGAAAATCATGCTGTTAAATACGGGTATTTTACGGATGGTGCGTTTTGTTGTGATGTTTCAAAACATAAACACCATTGGACTCATAAACAGTGCAAAACCTTTTGTAAAATGAATCACGTTTTAATTCATTGCTACATGAAATATTGCTTTTTTATGATGCGTTTCTTTTTGGGGAGAGTATATATATATGCCTTGGGTTGATAGTTTGGGGACATGTGTTTTATCACCCATGACAACCACATTGTTGACAGCAACAGGGAACACTCTCACAGCATGAATGTTAAGTCGCACTATGAGGGATGGTCCAGGATATCTTGACTCGTTCACAGGACATACGCCTCACTGAACCTTGAGGGATCATCTTGAAGTCAGATCAGGGCTCTTCTTCTGACAGCACAGCCTTCAACACCAAGAAGCCGCAGTACGGGACGAGTGACATCAGATTCCCGCCGACAGGCACCATCATCAGTATCCATGCATGCACGGATGCTCATTGAGCTCATATTCGATGTTGATTGTCCCTTATCTGAGAACCAAATCTAACTAAACATGACAACCCCTCCCTCGCTCGTAATTATGTACTGGAAAATTGTTTCCCCGTGTTCCTTGAGGCGGTACGTGGAAGAAGTGTACTTGATAATCAACGCTTCAGTCGATGAAGGAACTGTGCCCAACTCTTTCAAAGAAGTAATTATTAGTCCTATCCTCAAGAAACCCCCCTTGGACTCGTCCTTATTGAAAACCTTTAAGTCAGTATCAAACTTGCCGTTTCTCTCTAAAGTACTGGAGAGAGCTATCTTGGCGAGGTTGAATCAACACTTAAAGGCGCATGATCTGAACGATATGTTTCAGTCTGCGTACAGATCTCGACACTCTACCGAGACTGCTCTTCTGAGAGTGGAGAATGACTTCCTCAGATCTGTGGATGGACAGAACCTAGTCCTTCTAGCTCTACTCGACCTGTCGTCTGCTTTCGACACTGTGAACCATTCCATTCTGATGTCACGGCTAGAACACACAACAGGGATAACAGGATTAGCGCTGATGTAGTTCAGGTCGTATCTCACAGGCCGCAAGATGAATGTGCAGGTCGACGGTGCGACATCCCAATCATGCGACTTGATGTACGGTGTGCCACAGGGATCGGTACTTGGACCAGTACTCATTTCCGTCTATAACCTACCGATCGGCAGCATCATGTGTGACAATGGCCTAAGCTACCATCTCTACGCCGACGACAACCAACTCAACGTCTGTGCTGAACCATCAATGTACCTACCATGTCAAGTCAAACAGGAATCATATGTACAGGACCTGAGTCAATGGATGTGCGCTCACTTTATTAAACTAAATGAAGACAAAACTGAGTTTATGATACTAGGAACAAAACATCAGTTACAGAAAATTTCACCACAGCCACTTTCCATTAGTGGAGTTGAGATACACCCGATAGATCAAGTAAGGAATCTTGGTGTTTCTATCAACAAGAATCTGCAACTCACAATGCCCTGAAATCAGCCCGCACTGCCACGATGCATATTAGAAACATCAGCAAAATAAGAAAATATCCAGACACCGATACCACTAAGCTACTTGTACACTCTTATGTTACGTCATCATTAGACTATTGCAACTCCCTCCTGGTTGAATCCAGTGCGTCATCACACCTTCAACGGTAACAGAACATGGCTGCAAGAGTCATGACGAGGACAAGAAAGTTCGACTACATCACACTTATATTGAAGCAGCTACACTGGCTTCCGGTCAAACAGAGAATTCAAAGTCCTCGATCTAACGTATTCCGCTCTGAACTCACCAGGTTACCTGAAAGAAGGTCTGAGGTCTGCTCACGATCAGAGACTGGTTTTAACAAATAAGCAAAGTTGGTAGAAAGATCATTTTCAGTCGCTGCTCCTTAACTATGAACAAAAATCTGCAACATCAATTGAGATTTCAAGACAAATCTGAAGACCCACCTCTTTACAAAAGCCTACTAACTTGTCTCTTGACATTGCTGACACAAGCGCCGCTGAGCAGCTGCAGCTGGAAGATAGGCGCACTACAAATTCATTATCATTATGTTCACGTCACCTGTTGTACGAAACGTGTTGACACGTCGCATGTAACCTACCTGTATCAAACACGTCACCTGTTGTACGAAACGTGTTGACACGTCGCATGTAACCTACCTGTATCAAACACGTCACCTGTTGTACGAAACGTGTTGACACGTCGCATGTAACCTACCTGTATCAAACACGTCACCTGTTGTACGAAACGTGTTGACACGTCGCATGTAACCTACCTGTATCAAACACGTCACCTGTTGTACGAAACGTGTTGACACGTCGCATGTAACCTACCTGTATCAAACACGTCACCTGTTGTACGAAACGTGTTGACACGTCGCATGTAACCTACCTGTATTAAACACGTCACCTGTTGTACGAAACGTGTTGACACGTCGCATGTAACCTACCTGTATCAAACACGTCACCTGTTGTACGAAACGTGTTGACACGTCGCATGTAACCTACCTGTATTAAACACGTCACCTGTTGTACGAAACGTGTTGACACGTCGCATGTAACCTACCTGTATCAAACACGTCACCTGTTGTACGAAACGTGTTGACACGTCGCATGTAACCTACCTGTATTAAACACGTCACCTGTTGTACGAAACGTGTTGACACGTCGCATGTAACCTACCTGCATCAAACACGTCACCTGTTGCACGAAACGTGTTGACACGTCGCATGTAACCTACCTGTATCAAACTCGTCACCTTCAAATAACCATTTTTCGTTTGTTTAATTTGTAGCCACCGTCAATCTCGGGTGGATACTTCTTTTCTCCCTCAGTTTGTGTCTACGATGTCGGTGGCTAATCATATTCAGGAGGGGGATTTACCTTTTCACACAATACAGTCGCTTTGAGAATTGATCAAATTAGGTATGAAGAGAAATTAGAATAAATGTCGGTGCCAACGAGCCACTTCAGGACAGACATAGCAGAAGCAATGGTTTTACAAGTGCTACTCTATTTTTGCACCGACGGAGTGATGCCTTTGTGGTGATATGTATTGATTGGTGAACTTAGTTCATTTTAGAATACAATGTTCATTACATTAACTTCTTTGTTGTCTCATGGTTTCACACTTAGTTCTCTTACGGGCTGATTCCTGGCTGACTGTTTAGTTTCAACTTGAGAATCTTCATCTCATGATATACATACAGATTTATTTTAAGGATGCAAAACATTTTGCAGACACTCCGTGATGACCACACCTGAGAAGCCACATGCCAAGAACGACCCGTCTGCCTCTGCTGGTGCAGCAAAGACGGGACAGGCACACATGAGGCGTATGGAATATGCAAATTTTCTAAGAAGAGCTGATCAGGTACCTTTTTGGGTTGATTTTAGATCTTGTGCACGAATTTCAACCAAATCCTGACTGGAACACCAGGAAATGTCTGGCTATCCGTGCCAGCTGTCCGACTAGATTTACGAGCCGTAGTCGTCTGTTCTAACCGTAGATGAGGCCCCATAACTATCCATCTGTCAGCACCATACGGGCAGGTAAGTCCAGCTTGGTGACATATATGACCCCCATAACAGTGAGGGAGTATGTTGTGTTGTATGGAAGTGGAATACCTGTCCAACTGGAGATCACAGATGACACATTTGTAGTACGACTGTCGCGCTGCCTCTACAGTTTCTTCCTAATGGACCCCATTTGTTGGTAGAGGCTCCCAGGAACAAGTAATTACAGAACGATTGACCATCTGAGAGAGGCCATAGCCCCTTCTATTCTTTCGGATCAGGACGTTGTAAGTCATTCTCGGTGAGATAGAGATTGGAGTAAGTTGAGACGTTGTGAATCACCAAGGTAAAGTACTGGCTGGATTCATGGAGCCTGTTACAGTCACGAATCAGCACAAGGTGACAATCATTGCCTCTTTCTGGTCCGGATTCTCCGCCATTAGTGACCACTTAATTCACTGTGGGCACTTTCGCTTGACGTTTATTGAAACCTTCATGCTTGTGTCAGCGTAATTACTTTAAATCCCAATAGGGATATGGCAGCAAGGTCAGATATGAAAGTTCAGACAACTGATAGATTCCTACATTTATTCACGATAGGACCACGAATTCTTCAGTTTGAGATATGTTTTAGCCATTTTTGTTTATCTCTTTTAGGACTTATTACAACTGAAATAAAATGTTATTTTAATTGCCTCTACTAAGCAAAATAATCCCCATTACGATTCTGATTTTCTTTTCGAAATATACATTTGAATAAATATTTTTTAGAAAGGCAAATATGTTTAGAATTAGAGTTGTCGTTCTTGTTTGAAGTAGTGCTAATGTTCATGCGCCAATGATAAATCGTCTGAGAGATGCACGAGTCGCTAGAGGGCTTGTCGCGGAATAACACGCGTAGATCACGAACGAACATTCATCGAGAGAGGGGCGGATCTATTTGGAGGATACGGAGACGTCTTCACTTCTATTCTCAATAGTCGACTCTCTAAATGGGCAAACATGAAAGATAAGATTCCTGAGAATCAAGCTGGTTTTCGTAAGCAATACTCCACAACTGATCATATTCTCACTTTGTATGCACTGATTCAGAAATGTTTATCCCGTCGAAAACACAATCTACATGTATATGTCGCTTTTGTCGACTTTAAGAAAGCATTCTATTCAGTAGATAGACAAAAACTATGGTATTGCTTACGTAATGCCGGATTAGGTGGGAAATTGTATACTATGTTAAAAGCAATGTATTCAAATGTAAAATCTTGTGTACGATGTGGCTCTGATGTAACCGATTACTTTGACTGCCTAATAGGACTACGACAAGGATGCATTGTAAGTCCGATTTTGTTCTCATTTTTCGTTAACGAATTTTATTATGATGTTATGCAAAATGGTAAACAGGGTGTACAGATGTTTCCCGATACGATAGAACTGTTTATGCTTCTATTTGCAGATGATGTCATTTTGATATCTGAAACTATTATTGGTTTGCAAAATCAGCTAAATATTCTTGAAAGTTATTCTGAAAATTGGAAATTATCCGTATATTTAGACAAAACTGACATTGTCATATTCAGAAGGGGGTGGAGCTGTTGCATCAAAGGGAAAATCTATTGCTATTGTAAATCAATATACATATGTGGGAATAAGTTTTCACATACGATGAATTTAAAAAGTTGTGTCTATAACTTAATCCTACGTGCAAAGAAAGCAATGATTTCAATTTTATCTATCCCTCATGAATGTGGAATTTTAACTTCAAACATATTTTTCAAACTGTTTGATACCCAGATACAACCCATTTTATTGTATGGATCGGAAGTGTGGGGATTTCAACGCTACGATTACTTGGAGAGATTACATCTTATGGCTTGCAAGAAGTTTTTATGTGTTAGGTCCGCTACTCCAAATTGTATGGTCTACGATGAATGCGGGAGATACCCGATGTATATTAATTCACAAATACGATGCCTCAAATACTGGTTTAAGATTTCGATAAAGCATTAAAGCCGCCTACCAAAAATATCGTATAATATGATGGTTCATCTAGAATATATGGGTAAAATATCCTGAGCATTACATATTAGAAATCTTGTTTTCTCATGGATATGGATTGATATGGAAAAGCCAGGTTGTTGGCGATTTCTTTATGTTTCTAAACGAATTTCGTGATTGAGCGGTAAATATGTTTTATCAGGAATGGCATTTCACTCTAGAAAGTAGCTCTCGTTACGAATTCTATATATATAGAACATTTAAAACTCTAATACAGCCTGAATAGTATTTATCTGAACTTACTTTTCAGTATGATAGAAACATATTTGCCAAATATACGATAGGTTTGTTGGACTTAATGGTAAATAAAGGTAGAAAAAGGTCCCTCCCAAAATCTGAACGATCTTGTCCCTTATGTAATTCTTCAGTAGACTGACTGACTGAGCTTTTGATTTTACGCCGCTTTTAGCAATATTCCAGCAGCATCACGGCGGGGGACACCAGAAATGGGCTTCACACATTGTGCCCATGTGGGGATTCGAACCCGGGTCTTCGGCGTGACGAGCTAACGCTTTAACCATTAGGCTACCCCACCGCCCCTCTTCAGTAGAAGATGATGTACATTTTACCCTTGACTGTCCATTTTATGAACATTTACGTTTCAAGTATATCCCAGACCGTTATCTATCGAAACCATCACTGATTAATTTTAACCGTTTATTAACAACTAATAATGAATCCACCCTACGTAATTTAGCTCTCTATGTTAAATATGCATTATTCGTCGTAACGAGCACTTACAATTTAATAATACCCTAATGTATGTCCCAGACTGTTTGGAGGTTACGGAAAGATGCGAGAAGTGACAAATGAATTCCCAACTTGTTGAAGTTAATGGCAAAATGGTTGTTTATTTAGTTCCAGATTTCATACTGGAAGTCAAATAATGGTCACGTGTGTAGCTCCACTATCGTGCTGCTTCATGCTAATGGACGCTATTTATTGCCAGAGCCACTACCGAGGCCCATGTTGGTACGGAACAGAAGCGCCATCCGTTAGATATTCCGGTCCCAGCTACTCCTTCGGGTCAAGTTATCGGGATTTAAGCTACTCGGTGAGTGAGCATGAGATTCCTGTGTGTGAGTAAATAGATCACATGTCCATGCACAAGTTCGCAATATCCTTTTTGACTACGACCATCATATTTTCGACCCTGATCCGATGCGATCAGATGTTGTGAATCGTGTTTAAAAACGTTTAAAGTTTTCTGCCTCGGAAGACCATTGGAAACTATGGTGGACTGGTTGGGTTCCTTCTTTTCAAGAACACCAATGGAAAATTATTGTTGCCCGATATTGTTCTTTTTGCTCCGTAACATCAGTAGGAAACTGTTGTGGATTGGGATGATTCTTTCTGGTCCAGAACACAAATAGGAAACTATTGTGGGCCGATTGGATTCTTTCTGCCCCATGTGTCCATTTTAAAGGAGACTACATTAGTGGCACACAAATGCTTCCCATTTTCCATCAAATGCAATTACATCAATGGCAGATAATTATTACCCATATCATTAATCTCCATTGAAATGCAGGAGCGGTGGGGTAGCCCAGTGGTTAAAGCGTTTGCTCGTCACGCCGAAGGCCCGGGTTCGATTCCACACATGGGTACAATGTGTGAAGCCCATTTCTGTTGTTCCCTGCCGTGATATTGCTGGAATATTGCCAAAAGCGGCGTAAAACCCAACTCACTCACTCACCCCATTGAAATGTACATCAGGAACTGAAAAATATCCAACCTAAAGTTAAGACTTCCATACTGTCAAACAAAATATACTCTCCAAAAAAAGAAACGCATATAGGAATTTCAACTGTATTTTTATGTTTAGCTTGAAACATCTTGTAGGCTTTATGAGTCAATGAAATATAGCGAAATTGCACATTGGGAATGCAGACTTATCCGTCTTTGGCACCAACTCGAGGAAAGTCCGTTTGAGTGTCACATGGAGACGTGTGGTGGTGCTGAAGCAAATACCTCGTGTGACCACCGTGGGCATCCAGAACTGCACGGCATCGCCTCGGCATCGAACGAATAAGTCTTAGAATCTCGTGTTGCCCAATCGCAGCCCACTCTGCCTGTAGTGCATGTGCGAGTTGCTGAAGTGTCTAGGGCTGAGGGTTACGGCGTCGCACCCGTTTGTCCAGGGCATCCCACAGATGCTCGATCGAGTTTAAGTCCGGTGATCTTGAGGGCAAGGGGAGCACATTGATGTTGTGGTTTTGGAGGAAGTCTCTAGTGTGACGTGCTGTGTGGGTCCTGGCATTGTCCTGTTGAAACAACTCCCTCTGGCGATCAATGATTAGAAGGAGGTGTGGGCGTAGGATTTCGTCACAGTACCGTTGAGCTGTCAGGTTGCCCTGGATCTTCACCAAATCACTTCTCCTAAGGCAGGTGATCGCTCCCCACATCATAACACTGCCCTGACCGAATCTGTCCACCTGGGGAAGGCAAGCGTCGGCGAAACGTTCACGTCGACGTTTGTACATCCTATAGAAATCTTGATTCACCTCTGAACCAGATTCTACGCCAATTCGGTAAGTTCCATGCCTGAACGTTGGTGCACCATTGAACTCGATGTCGACGATGTTGTTGTCGAAGCACAGGGCCAAAATAAGGTCTTCTGGCACGTAAACCAGCCTCTCACAACCTGTTCCTGACGGTCTGTGCAGAAAGCATCCTCAATCCGGGTATTTGTCGAGTGATACAGGTCGCCGTAGCTGTTTGATGACGCAGGTGATGTACCCGGATATAGCGATCCTGCGCCGCAGTGGTCGCTCGAGGTCGCCCACTACGAGGGACATCTGCTACCGCATTCTGCCGGCAATATCTCTCCTAGAGCCGTGAAATGGTGCTTTGGTGAAGATTCATGCGTCGGGCAACTGCACGTTGAGACTGGCCAGCTTCAAGCAAACCAATGGCGATATGACGGTTGGCTTCACTTAGACCTGGCATTTTGGGTTCGTCAACAATATTCCAAATACAGTGTATAAACGACAGACAGCGATCAACCTTTCATACCCATCATTGAAACTATCTGATTCCCAACTTTCACGTGCATTGCATGTGAATTTGTGTACTCTGTGACAATACACGTCGAAATTGAAAATCATGCTCTTAAATACGGGTATTTTACGGATGGTGCGTTTTGTTGTGAAGTTTCAAAACATAAACACCATAGGACTCATAAACAGAGTAAAACCTTTTGTAAAATGAATGACGTTTTAATTCATTGCTACATGTAATTGCTATTTTCATGATGCGTTTCTTGTTTGGGAGATTATATGTTGAAATCTTCCGTTGACCTCTTTTCTTTTCCAATTAGGTCATCAGTTATCATTGGTCTTTTCCGTCATCATTAACCCCAACTTATATGTATTTACTATATTTTCGTTGTTTTTATCCAGGACTCGCCAGGGCCTTGTTATTTTCCACCGTGTCCATCCACGCTCAGCCCGGGGCCGAAGTCCTCCATCACCTCAAGACTTGGACCACCCACCTTCAACATGGTAAGTATTAATGGGTGGAAATTGTCTGACAATACTATTTAAACAAGTCCAGCGTTGCCTATCCCAGTCTAAGATATTTACTAATTAAAAACTGCCCAACATTTGTGACCTGCCTCTGCACACCCGACCTTTTCCACCAACCGTTAATTAGTGATACATGCGTGAGACATCAGTGTGTTTTCAGTCTAGAGTTGTCCTACATGTAGCTTTAGTTTCAGTGAATTTGCAACCGAGCCCACAGTAGCTTCAAATGTGCATTTTGTAGACGCTGCATAACATTATTCCAAAATGCTTGTCCGAAAATGACTGAGTGTAATAGAATGTACTGTAGTTTTCTATGAACATCAGCTCCCACGATATCAGCTTGCAGGATTGTTTGTTGTTTAACGCAGCATTCATCAGTTGTAGAGCTATAAGACAATGGTCTGTAAATAACTGATTAAGACAATCCCGTGACTGACATCATGAGCAGCGATAAGGTTCCTTCTGCTCCGGAACACAAATACAGGATTCTTTCTTCTCCAGTAGACACTCTGTCACGCAGTTCGCGTGCTCTCTTTCCACCCTACCATTGCTCATGTAATTATTCCATTTTCCCATTAATTGTACAGTTTTGTAGAACAAACTTTGCTCTTTCTCACATAGAGTGTATTTTGACATGTTAATCTTAGTTTGCGAGATATTCATGTTATTCTGTTACAAAACATATTATTCTCTCCGTATTTTGCCTCTTATTACCATGTATTATTCATGTTTCATCATTCATACTAAGAAAAGGATTGGCAAACAAGCCTAATTGGCTTATATTAATGCCGCTCCATAATACATGTGAAGGTTCACATTTATGCGAAATGTTGTAGATTTTTATAATATACTGAGTCAAAAAAGAAACTTCACCAAATGTAATTTGAAAAATAGTGAATATTTTTTCTCTGATGATACATCTATGTATCCGAAATGCGATCCCTATCTTTCGACTCTAGAAAAACGTTAGCTAAACCCACTCAAACCCATCCATTCGTCGTGCAAATGACGTTAGTGCCAAATCAGGTTTTGCACGTGCAGTCGATCACGTGATCTTCGCATCGAAGTTTTCTTCATATGCACGTGTTTGCATTGGCCTCAAGAATTGAAAAAACACTTTTAAACCACAGTTCTAACGGTACTTGAAATTCCACGATTGTCAAATGTGCAACGTGAGCGGGAAGATCAGTTATTGACGTCGCAAGAGCAATGGGATGCAGCCGTCGTACTGTGTATGACTTGCGAGGTCGTCTACAACAAACTGGCACCACTTCTGATCGCCCAAGGTCGGGTCGTCCACGTGTGACGTCACGAGCAGAAGACCGTCAAATCGTCCTACGTCACCTACGTGACAGATTTCTGCCGGCTACACGAACCAGGGCTGAGATGTTTAGAGGTCGACTGTCCTCACAGACCATTCGAAATCGGTTGCGGGCTGCCAATCTCCATTCTCGACGTCCATATCGTGGGCCAATATTGACGCCGTTTCATTAACGTCAACGTCTGCTGTAGGCCCAACGTCACCTCCGATGGACCCAGAGAGACTGGAATCGAGTCGTCTTTAGCGATGAATCCAGGTTTACCCTCAGATTCGCGGACGGCAGGCATAGAGTCTGGAGACGACGTCGTGAACGGTATGCCCAATATTGTGTACAGGAAGTCGACAGATTTGGGGGCGGAAGTTGCATGGTGTGGGGTGTTTTCTGTGGGAAAAACCGTTCCCGACTTCTGGTCATCCGTGGAAACCTCACAGCTGCTGCTTACCGCGACCAGGTGCTCACCGATGAACTCGTTCCTTTCATGGCGGCTCATGGCCCAGGTCTACAGTTCCAGCATGATAATGCTCGGCCGCATACCGCGATGTTGACACGAAATTTCTTTCAAAACGCTGGAATCAACGTCATGGACTGGCCATCGAGGTCCCCTCACCTTAATCCAATAGAGCACGTTTTGGATGCACTTGGGAGAAGGCTTCGTGGTCTTAGGAACTAACCTCAGAATTTGCAGGAACTTGGCGCTGCCTTGCAAGAGCAATCGCGCAGAATCCCCAACCACGTGTTCACAAGCATAAGGCAGTCGATGAGGAGACGGTGTTTGGCAGTGGCGAATGCGCGGGGCGGCCATACACGATATTGACCTGAGAAATTTCGCATTTTTATTCTTGTGACTTGACATTCTGTATACCCATGTTTTGGAACGGCGGTGTAGCCTAATGGAACTGATTATGGCACTGTCAGTGTATCGAGTACATCACACAGATCTCAGCAATGAAATAATAACAATTTAACCATCTTACCATCTCTTGTTCTTTTATAGTGTCCTGAAGAAAGAATGTGAAGTTTCTTTTTTGACTCAGTAGTTATAACAAGTTATCTCTGAATAAGAACAATATTGGATATCAACACTTTATCTTGGTTTTGTTTCGTGGCTAGTTGATCCAAATAAGAAAATAATAGAAACTACAAATCAAATCGTTTTGATTAGTATTACCATTTAGCACATCCCGCAGGGAGAAACCTTTTTCATAGAAATAAGATTCGTATTGAATGCTATCATATTTAGGACAGATGAAAAACATAGTGAAATACATCCTCATAATCTTGTGAGCAGGATCAAGAAGCATTATCACAAATGAAACGATTATACTTATCACTGTTTAAGTCACTGCATCCCAATCTAAGGCGGCAGTGTATTATTTGACAAAATCGACTACCAAAATTTAGATCGAACATTGTGTTGGTATTAACTTGTTGTGGTGTGATTAAATTCTTAAACTGTCCAACAGAGGAAGCGTTTGTCGCATTTGTAAGTAGGCCATTCCACAGTTTAATTGTATCGGGCAAAAACGTTTAACATAATTAGTGGATTTGCATCTAATAGTTCGATAATTTTCATTATTCCTTAGATTTTAGGTACGGTTATCAGATCACGAAGATAGTCAGGAACCATTTGGTTTACCATTTTGTAAAATAATGTTAATTTAGAAATTTTCTCTCCGTTTCGCTAAGGAAGTCAGGTTTGTCTCATGATACAGTCGTGTTGGGATGTAGTCAACGTTGGTATTATTCAAAAGGAGAGTGTGTGCGCCATCTTGAAGAGGAGCTACGATATCGACCCGTGGACATTCCGGACTCATGGGGAAGCCTGTGCACATTTATATATTCTCGGACAGCGTACAATCACCGTAGTCCTTACATCATAGCGGACAGGAATTGAACTTACCAATAGAAGTGGACGAAATAGACTCTGAGAGAGTAACGGCATATTTGGAATACTATCTATCGTGCGCATATGCCTTAGTGGTATGGAAATTCATAAAAAAGTATGAGAGGGAGACAGAGCATGATTTGGATACATTTTTTCATACGTCTATGAAAGCGATTGACGAAGACGCGGTTATTCTGAAGTGGCGTCAGTACGTGGATGGTGATCCGTATCTACGCGTCATCTCTCCATTATATTTTCTGTAATATCAATGTAGAGACTACCGAGACACCAGTGTCAAAACCGACCAGTGGATGAACCATATCAAACGGACGGTTAAATGTTGGTGTGGGAAAGTATAGTCATGCAGGTTGATTATCATCAGGAATACTACTACGATCCCAGGAAACCAGGCGCTTTCGCGGGTGAACAAAAATTTTATGGCGCTCTGAAGCATCATAACCCTAATGTCTCTTCTCATAGCGTACGAAGATGGATGAGAACGCAAGACGCCTACAACCTACATCGTTTACCAAACAAATGATTTTCAAGAAATAAAGTCATCGTGGGAGGAATGAACGTACAAGCAGATGGAGACTTATGCGACGTTTCTAGGTTAGCACAAGACAACGATGGAATTAAGTATATTCTCATCGTAATCGACTGCTTTTTGAGGTATGTCTGGGTCCGACCTATGGAAAATAAAGAATCAAACACGACTGCCAAAGCAATGAGGGAACTATTGTCATCCATGGAGAAACCTCCATACAGTCTAAGAACGGACAAAGGAAAGGAATTTAATAATCAAACAGTGTGACGGATTTACACTCTATTTAACGTCATACATTTTGTTACGCAAAACTCAGACATTAAAGCGAACTGCGCCGAACGTTTCATTCGTACTTTGAGATCTATGATGTATAGATTCCTCACGTACAGGCATACCCATAGGTACATCCACGTATTACAAGACCTTGTTTATAATTACAACCATCGCCCGCACAGGAGCCTGAGAGGAAGAGCACCCGTGGAAGTGAAACTATCAAACGAAGCTAGCATATGGTTGGATATATACGCGGACAAAGCCAATATCAAACCTCTACGAAACAGCAACTTTGCATTTAAAGTAGGAGACCACGTCAGAGCATCATTGGTCAAGAGAACGTTCGAGAAGGAATACGAACAGAAATGGTCGGAAGAAGTATTTAGGATACATCAGCGACAACTCAGAGACAATATACACGTATATTGGATAGAAGACCTCCAATCCGATCCCATAAAGGATCCTTTTATCAAAACGAGTTGCAGAAATATCCTCACGATTCCAACGAAGTGAATTGGCGAGTTGAACAAATACTCAAAATGAAATACGTTGGTAAGAAACGAAGTAAGAAAAGGACCAAACGTGTTTTAGTGAAGTGGTTGGGATATCGAAATAAATTCAATTCATTGATCGACGCTGACCAAATCAAGAACGTACACGTAGTGAGAGAATGATGTCAACGGAATGGATTGTGACTAATAGCGACGATAGCGTCGAGTTTTTTCCTGAAAAATAAACCTTATAAATTTCCCGTGTACCTGAAACAACCACTCAGACTTAACAGACATTGGACCATATCACTACGAGAAGTATACGCCAGAAGGAAGAACGCAAATAAGAAAAGAGATGTTTTGAATGGAATGTTGTATATATTCTGTTCCATTTGCGAACGATCATAGTACATGGCCAACGTCAACCTCTGTTGAGACGAGTGCAACAGTCAACCGCA